AAACAGCACTTCCCCATCCTGGTCTCACCTGGTTTGTCCCACTGAAGGCAGAGGAATCAGACTCTTTGTTCCATGTGTGGGCAAGAACTTAGAGCCTTCAACCTAGCTGCCCTTTCTCCTCCCTTGTGCCCCTGTACACAGCATCAAGAAATTGGGCTCTGGTGTGGATGAGAAGAGCATAGCTCCCTCCAGCTGGAGGGAAACCTTACCAACATTCCAGCCCCAGGAGGCCTGGGAGTAGGATGATCTGTGGAGCCAGTGCCTGTTCCCTTAGCAGGAAGGCTCACAGATAGACCTTGCTCTGGAAAAGGAGAGCTCTGAGCTACAGATGGGGAGGGGGAGAGGGGTCTCTTTGTGATCATTCAGCCCCGAAATGATGCTGGTGATGTTGGCTTTCCAGGCCATTAATTCAACCGTTCCTGCCCCGCCCCCCCACCCCTCATGTTGCTGCCTGCTCTGGGAGATAAGCCCTGTTCTATTTAACCCTAATCATTCCCCCCAGAGTGGCCTCCATCGCTGTTAGCAGGCATTTAACCCCCTGGGTACTGAAAACATTGAAGGCTGAGGGTGAGCTCATGTGTCACAGGGGGTGTGCATTTCACCTGAAACCTGGCTCCAGGATACTGATCCAGATTCCTGAGCCAGAAGTCCCTGCTCCATGGGCTTGGAAGGAGTCCTGGGAACCTCTCACCCACTTTCTCCAAGGAAACTTATGTCCTTCCAAGACAGTGGGATCCTGCATGGTCCTGGGAGGAGACACCTCTCCCAGACTGGGCAGCAGCAGCTCCTGCTCTCCCCTAAACACTCTCCCCTCCCAGTTTCTTACTCCCAGGGTCTGGAGTCTGGTGTCAGTAAAGGGACGGCAGTGGTACCTTTGCCTCTTTTGTGTCCCAGTGGCTGGTGCCTCTGCTTGGCACCATTTGCTCCAGCTCCCTCCTGCCCGCTTCTTGCTTGTTCCCTGCCACTTTCTTCCTTTGTTCTCTCTCCCTTCAGTGATCAGATAGGGTCATTCCTAACTATTGGTCTCAGTGTGAATGAATCTGTGTGTGTGTGTGTGTGTGTGTGTGTGTGTGTTCTTGTGTCTGGGAATCTGTCAGTGTATGATTTTCCACGTGTGTAAGTCTTCTTATATTGCTGTGTGTCTAAGACTATTATCTGGGTGGCTCTGCCCACTTGGAGGGATCCATGGGTGTCTGTCCTGGTTTCTTTGTGTGGTGGCCAGTACAAATCTTGCATGTGTCTGTGTGCCAGCCTGCCCTTGAACCTGTGTGTATTACTGTCAATCTGTACAAAACTACCAATTGCTTGAATCTGTGTGTTGGTCCTCATTTCTTTGTGCATCTGTCAGTCGGCTTGTCATTGTCTGTGTGTGACTGTACACGTGTGCTCTTTCGACTCAGAAAGGCAAGCTGTGCAGATTCCTTCCACAGGGAGGGGATGCCCTGGGAGGAGCTATATTGGAGAATTTGGAGGCTGATGGCTTCACTAGAGCACAGTCCAGCACATTACCAGCTAGGTAAGTCATCAGGTTTGTCTCCTGAGGCCACCTGCCAGGTCCCCTGCCCTCTGCCCTCCTCCTGTCCTTCATTTCCTTTTTTCCCCCCCATCAGCTCAGGGTAAGGACAGAGAAAAGTGGGACAAAAACAAAGAGTGTTACATTCTAACTTCTTCAGACTCTAGACCCAATCACATGTTTTTTCTTGTAGGCTCATCCACTCCCCATCCCAACAATGAGAAATGACACTCGATGGGTTACAACAGCAATCACAAAACAACTGTTACCATGTTAGACACTCAGCACCTGCTGAGCATTTCATATGCAACATCTGATCTTATTCTCTCAATAACTCTACAAAGCTGTTGTTTTTCTCACCATTCAGGGATAAGAAAATGAGGGTAAGAGAAGTTAAGCAAGTAGCCCAAGTCCAAACCAGAACATGAAGGAACAGGATTTTCCATAGGGAGGAAGGCTGCTAGTGAGTTTGCCACAGCCATCTTCAGCCTTGGAAAAGATATTTATTGCAAACAGCAGGAAAGGGGGAAAACAGAGGACTTCCTTCTCCAACTGTTGGCAACAGGGGACTGAGATCTGATTTTGAATTTCATTTGTTTGGACAGTGAAGTGGCCAAATACCAAACAACCAGGGAAAGGGGATGGAAAGGTAAGATGAGGTCACGAATGGGAAGGCACACTGGAGGGAGTGTCAGGATAGCTTGGTTCTAACCTAGGTTTCCCTTGTATTCTTTGTGACCTTGAGCAGGACACTTCACTGCTTGGGTGTGAATTTGCTTATCTATAAAATTAGGCTGAGCATGAGGCTCTGTTGAAATGTTTTAAGTGTGGAAGGAAGGACGATGGATCTGTGTGTTCCTCTGAGACCCAGTTCTTGGGGAGAGTTGGGGTGGGATGTAGGAAGGGATCATGATTTCATGGGTTTGGCAATTGCCACGTGCATAGGAAGGATGGTGAAAGGTGCATCGAATGAATAAGTAAACAACCCCATTTCCCTAAGGGAAGACTGTCACAGCCCCTGGGTCCTATAGCAATGAACATAGTAAGGGAGAGGAAGAAGAGGTACTCATTTTAGATTCAGTGGTCAAAGAAAACATTGGTGGCCATCTTGAGATCTGGGGGTGGGGGTGGCATAGGGAATCCTACAAAGACACTCAGAGGTGGCCCAGATTGTGTCATGTGGGCCAAATAATTCTACCAGGAACAGAGGGCAGGGAAGGAGATCTTCCTCTAGAGGAATCTGGAGGGCAAAGGCTCTCCTGCAGTTGGGGACTGGGGTCTCTCTATTGGGCAATTCTCTGACTGTGGGGATCCATTCTATTTCAAGTCTCTTTGGAGGAGACCTCTGTGTCTGAGAAGGATGAATCTCTGTCCTGTCTTGGCTTTGAATCCCAGCATGGCCTGGAGCCTTCTTTGGGGGAGGGCTCTATGGAGAGGTGTTTTGATCAGATGACTAGAATTGGGGGAGGATTCTTGGGGGAGGTGTTCTGTGCGGTGGAGGCAGGAGATTTGCAGAGCTCTTAGGGAAAATTAAAGCGTCACCTGTGGACGGATGAGGAACATCTCTGTTCCTCTGGTGAAGGACCCATGTCTGGAGAGACGCCTCCTCGGGAGACTGTGAGGTGCTTGGGATGGAGGGGGAGGAAGTGACTGAGGAGCCTGTCTTGTCCTGGCAGCTCCAACTCGCTGGTCAAAGCCCTCAGGCCGCCCTACTTGTGCGCTGACGTGAGCTAATCCAGAAATACTGCCTGGGAGGAAGAGACTGGGGTTCCCAGGGAGAAAGAGAGGAGACTTGGGGGCCGCTCTTTTTTCCTTTCCTTCAGCTTTCCCTCCCTGCCCCCTATCACAGCGCTACTTATCTATCTACTCTGGGACTGCCAGGTCTACCCCTGTGATTTACTGGGTAGGAGGAGTCCAAGCCAGAGCCCAGGTGGGGACCTAGGTAGGGACCCACAGAGAGCAGCGACCCGCTCCCGCTCGAGACAACTACAAAGGGCCTCACACGAGCACAAACGCAGGCAACTCCATTCGGAACACATATGCAAACGCAATCCAGCACACCAGCCTCTCAGGATCACAGACCCCAGACCCCAATGCGCTCAAAAACATACATACGGAATATACACGCTTACCGAATCTCACCCTCAGAGTTCACACAGATCCAGTCCCTGGCAATGTCTGATGCAGTATTTTGTCTTTGTCTCTGGGTCTCCTTATTCGTGCCAGCACACACACGCACCTCACTCAACAGAAACATTCAGGCTCTCAGTGCCCCAGTGGCTGCGGTCCGGGGGGAGGGGCGGCTGGGTGGGAGGAGGCAATGCGTCCTGGGCCTGCAGCGCTGTGAGCCCTTCTTTACTTCGCGCGCGACACCGGCTGCGCCTCTCTCGGTGTGGGCATTCGCCAAACAGCCACCAGGCACCTAGAGGTATCCTCAGAGTGCTGCTTCCTTCCAGGTCCCCCAAACGAAAAAAGAGCGAAAAGCTAACCTTTCGCCTCCTTTCTCCGCGCATTTGGAGAGAGGTTGATGACCAGCAACCCGCTGAATGGCTTCCATCACGATGTCCCAGGACAGGGGAAGACAACCCAGATAAGTGAACCCGGAGCTGAGAATCCTTGACAGTGATCCATGCCCGCCACTTCTGCCTTCAAGGTGAACTTGCGGCCAGGTTTAAGGGCGAGCGATGAGTGCCTGGGAGACCAACCGACGCCTAGACGGCCCGCTCCACCAAACCCGGCAACTGTGTTCCGAAGGCCTTCTGGGCGTCCAGATCAGTCCTTAGCAACAGGATCTGGGGCCCCATGCTCCGGGACTGTGAATGGTTGGTCAGGTGCGGGGGACCGCGCTAATCAGCCCACCTCGAACCCCTCCCTCACTGCAGCGGCGGCGAGGTGGGAAGGGCCAGGATGGAGTGAAGCACCTCCTCCAGAAATGCAGCACTTCAGGCCCCCGCCCCGCCCTCCGCGCTTCCCTCCCGCCGCCTTCCCAAGGGCGCCCTTCTCTTGCCCCTATCTCACTTCTAAATCCCTTCGTGCCACCTTTCTCTTGCCCTCGCCCCTCCTCAAGCCCCCTGGCTCCAAGTGTTTCCCCTCTCCAACCTCCACCCCCGCGCCGCCTGACTCCGAGGGGCGGGAGCGCACCGGGCTGCGCACGGGTGGGGGCGCCGCGCCAGCCTCGCGTAGCTGCTCTGACGCCGCTGCCGCCACCACCTCCCTCCGCAGCCCAGCCCGCGCCCCGCGGCAGCTCCGCAGTGCACTAGCCACCGCCGCCGCCGCCGCTCCGCCAATACGGCCGCTAGCCTGCCGGGTCACTCCCGGAACGAGCCTCCAACGACAGCCGAGAGGGTCATGAGCCAGAGCGCCCCGGAGCTCCGTGCGGAGAGCGAACGGAGATAGCGGCCTCGCGCCCCTCGGCCCTCGCTGTCTTGACGCCCGTCCTCCGCGTCCCCAGCTTCTTCTGTCCTTTCCTCCGGCCCCCACTACTGCCATGGCCACCCTGCTCCGCAGCAAGCTGTCCAATGTGGCCACGTCCGTGTCCAACAAGTCCCAGGCCAAGGTGAGCGGCATGTTTGCCAGGATGGGTTTTCAGGCGGCCACGGACGAGGAGGCGGTGGGCTTCGCGCACTGCGACGACCTCGACTTTGAGCACCGTCAAGGCCTGCAGATGGACATCCTGAAAGCCGAGGGCGAGCCCTGTGGGGATGAGGGCGCCGAACCGCCCGTCGAGGGAGACATCCATTACCAGCGCGGCGGCGGCGCTCCGCTGCCGCCCTCGGGCTCCAAGGACCAGGCCGTGGGGGCAGGTGGCGAGTTTGGGGGCCACGACAAGCCCAAGATCACGGCGTGGGAGGCAGGCTGGAACGTGACCAACGCCATTCAGGTGAGCGCGGGATTCCCAGCTCTGCCTACCCCCACCCTCACCCCAGCTCTGAGTGACAGGTCCTGCCCCCACACAAATCCCTCGGAGAGTTCGGCTTTGATGCCCTCTCCAGTACCTGAGAATCCATCATCTCTCCCTCCCCAAAACCTTCCTAGAGGGGCGCGAGGATCTACGGCCCCAGGTGGTGTCTACCGCCCCATTCGCACCCTCTCCCACTGCCCCAGCTTCAGGATGGCGTGGCTGACTTTCTGTGGGAGACACAAGTGCAGAGACCCTGCAAAAAGCTAGGGAAATAGGGGTATGGTGGGGGAGGGGGAGAGGGGAGGGATGAGGAAGAATGAAAATCAGGATCGGAAAGCAGAGTATTGCCTTGGACTTCGGAATGGATTCGCAGCTGCATTTTCGGGAGGAAAGGAGAAGGGGAAACAGCTGAGTTGGGAACTCCTGCCCCGACTCACATGCATAAAGAGTGCAGAGTACAAAGGCAGGTCCACATGTCCACAGCCCCCTTCCCCTTCAGCAAATGCACACACGACATACACCTATTTATAGATCACAGGATTATCCCCCAAATACACCTGCATACACCCGTACATCAGAAAGCACATTATCTTTACATAGCAAGCACACACGTATTCATTCGCACATAACACGTGCACACGCAGGCACACACTCATGCGTGACAGGACCCGATGGGCTCAGGACCCTCAGGTGCAGCTTTGTTGAGACATACGGACGTACTCGAATACCTATGGTCCAAGGGACTCCGAGCTATGGAGCTGCGCACAGACTAGCCCCTCTCCTCGGAAATCCCGGCTACACCGCAGTGGCTGGCAGCACTTCCTTGTCACCCTGGCTGAAGCCCCCTCCATAGGCTTACAACAGTCCCTGGTATCTTGGCCCGCCATCTCTCCCCCTACTTCCAACCCCCCACCCCCAGCCCTGTTCCCCACCAGGCGGCGCCGTACTCCTAGCAAACGTGTTTGAAGTCCTCACAACGACCCCAAGCGCTGACAAGGGATGACAGCTCGCAGTTTCAGGGACAGAGGAGGCCTCAACTCCGGGAATCCCTGGGCTCTCTGGCTTGGTCCTGTGGCGTCCCACGAGCGCCAGGTCGTTGAGGCACAGAACATAGGTTTCCTGGCAGTTGAAGGCGCAGCGGGATTGCTGCGCGTCACTGACTCAGCGGGACTCCTAGGTTGTCCAACCCGAGACATTCCCGCTCCAGGACTGGGCTAGATAACCTTTACAGACTAGAGGCAGGGTTGGGGGGTGGGGGGGAAGGTGCACCCACTTTCGTTTTCGTAGGCGGTTTTTCCTAGCACATCTTTCAAGGTCCCGTTCCATAGACCTGGAAAGAAGGCCAGGCAGTAGGCTGGAGGCGCGAAAGCCTCCAGGACCCTGGATTTCGTTAGCTTCGCTTCCCTATTTGGTTTCTAAACCATCCTTTCACAGTTGGCCCTGTCAATCCCACAGTTTGATTTGGGTTTCCCGCAGAGCTCAAGCTTCCCGGGTAGATACCACTTAGTATCCTTCCTTAGGTCTTGCCCTCGCCCCAACGCACACCAGCCTTGTTCCTAGTCTCCATATTTCCAACCCTGCCTCCTTCCTCTTTGTGCCCCAGTCCCCAAAGCCCTTGCCACCCCCAAAACACATTCCCTCCCTTCTGGCTTTGCCCCACTTTCAGCCCCTTTTCCTCTCTACCCTATTACTTCCAGTGCCGCCTCTACCACGTACTTCTCCCGCGAGGCCCTTACGCACCCATTCCAGCCCACCTTAAGTCCCATTCCAGCACACCTTAAATCCGGTGCCCACTCTTCCCAGTAGCTCAGGCTCAGCTCTCTTTTTAAGCGCCGCTTTCCAATCCCGATCCTTCCAACCCCCTTCTTCTCCTCTCTGGTCCCCACTTCTGGTTCTATACCCTAGAATCATCCTCCCACCCCCCAGTTATCTTCACATGCCCCTACCCTCAGCCTCCTCACTACTTCCCAGCCATGAGCTCACCTTTCTTTCTCAGGTCCATCTTTGAACACCTTCCTCTTCATCTATGACTGAACACCCAGGCTCCCCATTAGGTTCTTTTTCACCCTCATTCCAGCCTACCCTTAAACTCTCCCTGCAGGTGGTTTAGGCACAATTCTTACTCTCCTCAGCGCCCCCTCGTGATAGTTTTAAGTCACGCCCCTGAGCCCTCTTTCCCAGGCTGAGTCCACTGAGCGCCCTTGCCTTGTTGCCTCTCTGCTCCACAGGGCATGTTCGTGCTGGGCTTACCCTACGCCATCCTACACGGTGGCTACCTGGGTTGTTTCTCATCATCTTCGCCGCGGTGGTGTGCTGCTACACTGGCAAGATCCTTATCGCGTGCCTGTACGAGGAGAACGAGGACGGCGAAGTGGTGAGGGTGCGGGACTCATACGTGGCCATAGCCAATGCGTGCTGCGCGCCACGCTTTCCCACGCTGGGCGGCCGCGTAGTCAACGTGGCGCAGATCATCGAGCTGGTGATGACTTGCATCCTGTATGTGGTGGTGAGCGGCAACCTCATGTACAACAGCTTTCCGGGGCTGCCCGTGTCGCAGAAGTCCTGGTCCATCATCGCCACAGCGGTGCTGCTGCCCTGCGCTTTCCTGAAGAACCTCAAGGCGGTGTCCAAGTTCAGTCTGCTGTGCACGTTGGCTCACTTCGTCATCAATATCCTGGTCATAGCTTACTGTCTATCACGGGCGCGTGATTGGGCTTGGGAGAAGGTCAAGTTCTATATCGATGTCAAGAAGTTCCCCATCTCCATTGGCATCATCGTGTTCAGCTATACGTCGCAGATCTTCCTGCCTTCCCTGGAGGGCAACATGCAGCAGCCTAGCGAGTTCCACTGCATGATGAACTGGACGCACATCGCCGCCTGCGTGCTCAAGGGCCTCTTCGCTCTGGTCGCCTATCTCACCTGGGCCGACGAGACCAAGGAGGTCATTACGGATAACCTGCCCGGCTCCATCCGCGCTGTGGTCAACATCTTTCTGGTGGCTAAGGCGCTGTTATCCTATCCGCTGCCCTTCTTCGCTGCTGTTGAGGTGCTGGAGAAGTCGCTCTTCCAGGAAGGCAGCCGTGCCTTCTTCCCCGCCTGCTATGGTGGCGACGGGCGCCTCAAGTCGTGGGGGCTGACGCTGCGCTGCGCGCTGGTGGTCTTCACGCTGCTCATGGCCATCTACGTGCCGCACTTCGCGCTGCTCATGGGCCTCACTGGTAGCCTCACCGGCGCCGGCCTCTGCTTCCTCCTGCCGAGCCTCTTTCACCTGCGCCTGCTCTGGCGCAAGCTGCTGTGGCACCAAGTCTTCTTCGACGTCGCCATCTTCGTCATTGGCGGCATCTGCAGCGTGTCCGGCTTCGTGCATTCCCTGGAGGGCCTCATTGAGGCCTACCGAACCAACGCGGAGGACTAGGGCGCAAGTGCGAGCCACGGCCGCACCCGCGCCTCCCTCCTGCCCCACAACCCACCACCCACCACCAGCCCCGTGCGCCCGGCCGCCGCGCTTGGGAAACCAAGCTTTAAACATCTCTGGTTCCTAGTTTCTGATTATTCGGGGATCGGGGTGGGAGGGGATAGGGATCCATGACCCTTCCCGTCTGCGTTTCTGTTGTTCTTTCTTTTCCACAACACCCTGGTTTTGGGGGGAGGTGGGGCGCGTTTGTGGGCAGGATTTTTTTGTCCTTACAGGAGGGCCCCCTCCCGCCCCGGCACTTTGACTCCAGTCACCAAGTCGGGTGGAAGGGAGGGAGAAGGGGCGCAGCTCGCAGGCGCGGAAATTTGACCTTGGGGGGACATTTCACAGTCATCCAGTGCTCGGAATCTATAGCGTCCAGCCATTTCCAGCAAGAGCGCTTCCCATTCCCGAGACATTTCAACCTTGCAGCCAGAAAGGCTGACCGGGAAGTCCATTTCTGGTGGGCGATTTCCTTCAGCGAAGCCGGGAGAAGCCGCGGCGGGTGCGATTTGCCTGCCGGTTTTCAGGAATCCAAACTCATCTTGTGCAATTTATCAGGTTGTGGAACTGTTCTGTGCGTGTGGTGTGCTCGTGGTGAATAAGATGAAATGTATATCAGAAAAAAATCTATCTAATTTAGAGTGCGGTGCATAATTATATCCGCAAATAAAGAAGAAACAAAGGTGTGCGCGCCTCGTGTCAGTGCTGCCTGTTCGCTTGAGCCGAGCCGGATCCCCATGGGTGGCTGAGCAAGCTGAAGCAGGGAGGGAGTGGAGGTGTCGCTCTGATTAAAGGGTCCCGGGAAAGCACAGAGGTTGGGTGTCAACTAGAGGAAGCTCTGTCAGGTGTGTGTGTTGTCAGGGGTGTGTGTGTGTGTGTGTGTGTGTGTGTGTGAGAGAGAGAGAGAGAGAGAGAGAGAGAGAGAGAGAGAGAGAGAGAGGGAGAGTGGAGTAGGGGTGAGAGGACACCATAAAAGGAGTGTTCAGTAGCCACTGCTGGCCTCAGCCATCAAGACAAGATTTGGTCCCAATCCTCAGAGGCGATCCATCTGACAATTCGGTGGATGCTCTCAACCTCCAATCAAAAAAAAAAAAAAAAAGGCGGTAGGGGAGTTGTGTGTGCTTGTAGGACATAACATTTTTATAGGACAAAAATCCTAACGTTTATTGAACAGATACTTTTTTTTTTTGAGGCTGAGTCTCACTGTGTAGCCCAGGCTGGAGTGGAACTCGAGATCCTCCTGCCTCAGCCTCCCCGGTGCTAGGATTACAGGTGGGCACCAGGACACCCTGCAGCAAATATAGACAGCACTTTAGGGCTGGAGCTATGAAAAAACAAACTCTCCCTGCCCTCATGGAGCTTTCAGTCTGGCAGATGGGAGTCAGGCAGACATTCACAAGCTGACTGTAGATTGTGAAGAAAATTACAAAGGAACAGGTTGTATATTTCCCAGACCCCCCAGGGCCAGGTGCCAAATGAACCTTGCAGGCAGGCATCTCTCAACCAAGTGTGATCTGCCTCAAGTCCAAGCGGGGGTTTACAGAGATCCGGTCATTTATCATCAACAGCCCTGTACTATTTGAGTCTGTTTCCCTTTACCTTGTGCAGTCTGTCCAAATTTGTCTGAATTGCTCAAAAATCGCAATGCTTTTTTGTGTGATTCCAGACTTTAAGGGCAGTACCTTTGCTTCCTCCAGGAGTTCCTATTCCTGTCTCAGGACTGTTGAGGAGTGTCAGGGGTAGACTTTCTAAATGAGGGTTGGAAACCCAGGATGGCTGAGGTTGCTGCTGGTGGTGGTGGGTCCTCACTCACCACAAGAGACCACCACAGAGGCACAGCCCTCTTAGAATGATTTCTTCAGATGCCATTGGTGTCAGAAAGAACCGAGAGAATGTCAAGTAGGGTGTTCCATTCTCCCTTTATCAGGAGGAGGGAAGGAGGGAAAAAGAGAGAGGGAGAAGGGTGGGAGGAGAGGGAGAGAGAGAGAAGAGAGGAGAGGACAGAATGGGGTGGCAGAGTGCGTATCTGTCACATGGGGAGGCTGTATCTGTCTTGGTAAATGTGTCTGCATGTGTGCAGCGAATCCATGTGGCTGTGCTCTGCCATATTCTTATAACTGAGGTGACCTCATATTGGGTTCTACTGATACAGAATGGGAGTAGAAGGGAAAAGGGGATGGGGTCCAGTGCCCTTATTATCTAATTCCCCTTTGTCACTAGTGTTCCACATTCAGGTTCTGGGACAAGCCAAAGAGTTCTTAGTTTCCCATCTCCCAGGACCACCAACATCTCCCAGACCAAGGGAGGATGGTTCTGACTATTCACCTCTCTACCTTGTGTTTCTGCTTTTCAGCAGGTCTATGGACCCTGAGCTGTGCTCTGAGTTGGAGTTCATTCTGTTCCCTTCAGAAAAAGGCAGGACTTCTACAGCGAAGAGAAGGTGGGAGCATTACGCTGTACCAGCTCCATGCTTCCCATCCTTTAAAGGATGAATGGAGCACCATGCATGCTCCAGACAGCAGCTGCTATCTCTGGGGCTTATTCTGGACCTGTCCCACTGGGTCTTGGCTCCCATCTTTGGGCTCAGTTTTTAGGAGCCCAGGTCCTGAAAGGGTGAATCCTGGTGGTGGGAAAAGCTGGAGAACCAGTTCCCTAGATGCCCCAAAGGGAACTCTGCACTGTAGCCAATAGGACATCAACCCTCAAATTGACATCCAGGCCACTGGAGAAATGGGGAGCAGAAGTAGATGGGACCCACCTCTGCACCCACTCACCCCTCCTAAAGTACAAGTGGAAGTGGAAAGGAAGAAGTCCTGACTTAGCTTCAATGTGCTTCTTGAAGGACTCGAAGTCCCAGGAAGCAGATAGACCTGGCAAGTTTCAGTCCAGGGCCACCTGAGATGCAGAGACTTCTGCTCTGCCCCGGTCTTCCCATCCAGAGTTCCCATCAGTTCTTTCATCCTGGCTTCACTTGCTGCAGACCCTAAGAAATCTTTTAGGGTCTTATCTGCAGCAAAGATGTGCTGGCATACTGACCTGGTACCCTGGGACCATGGCCCGGAACTACCAAGACTCTTGCCAGCCAAAGGAACCTAGAAGACCCAGCCACAGGGTCCCAGTAGCACAAGCTAACTGACCCTTAAAGAAGGGTCTCTGCCTTCATAATTTGGGTAAATTCTAGCACACCCTGGAGCCCTAAATGCTTCCTGCCCCCCACCATGTCCTGCCTGGTTAATTATTGCTTATTTCTATGCTTTATTTCAACATAACATTTCAAAAGTGAACCTTTGGCTATTGTTTCCCTAAACTCAGAAGGATGCTACAGTATGGAACATGTTTTGTTATGTGATATGTTCTATCCCAGGGAATGGTATGTTCCCCACTTAGGGGCCTTGGAGAGAGGAAGGAAGGGAGCCAAAAAGGACCATAAGGACATTTAAAATATGAAGAGGATCCAGGCCTTGCTATTGGGGGCAGGGAGACAAAAGTCATAGACAGGCTTTGATCAAGGAGGGGGCAGACTTCCAGCCTCAGTATGAGGCTGATTTGATATCAGGGAGGCAATATTGGGTGTCTTTCCCATACTCATTTTTTTCAATATTATGCAGAATTTCTAACATACAGAAAGGTGAAAGGGTTCTATACTGGACACACATATTACCACACCTAGACTAACGATCATCATTTCACAATACTGTATCTATCCCACATCTATCCATTCAACAGTACACCTCTAAAAATGTACTCCAAGATTATAGGCATCTGTATAGTTCCATCCCAAATTCTTAAGTATGCTGGATCAGTAATTGTGATGTTCAGATAACACAGGTTCAGGAACAGCACTAAGCTGAACCATACTAGAACCAGACCAAAGGAAATTTCAGCAACATTCATCCTGTCTTTATTTAAAATTCTGCTATTTTGTTTGTTATATTATTTGTAACATCATGGTTCATTTTTGCATTAATTTTTATTTTAAAAAGTATTACATTAAAATACTTTTTATCTTGCTTACCAAATCTTCTTTTGCACCTTCTTGAAGTTTGCTCCCAGGGCAAAATACTTTTTTTTTCTTCATGGTGGTCCCAGCTCTGCATATGCAGCAGTGCTTCAGAGATGAGCTCTGTCCCCTAGAGATTTGGATTGAGTCTTTTCAAGAGTCTGGCTAAAAGTGATTCCATAGTGATGCTGTGGGCACCTCTCCCAGCTGTGGATCCAAGAGAGGGCACTCAAGGGTAGGGTCTGTGTTCAGGGATACCCAGAAGGATGATCAGCTGTGCTGGGAGCCCAGAGATGTGGGAGCCTAGCAGTTCCCAGCAGTCCTCTGGGGGTGGGGTGGACACCAGATGAAGAGACTGAGGATGTAGAAGGGATGAAATCTAGGGTCTTGACGGGGGAAGGAAGAACAACCGGGGGAGAACACAGTGAAAGGAATGATTAGTGCTACCCACTACCAGGTTCAAGGGCTGGCAGGGACATGGAATTAGCAAATATTTGTTGATCACCCACTATAGGCCACACACGGAGCTAAAGACTGTTTTAGGCTCTGAAGATGTAGTAAATGAGACGGTTGTCAATGTCCTATGTTCCCTAGATGCACCTGGTTCACCTGAAGCTTTGGATACTTAGAACCCTCACAGTGCTGAATCAGTGCCATCTGACTCTCTTATGAAGGCTTTCTGGGATGCCTTGGGGGCACAACTCAGAGTTGAGGAGTTATTCCTCAACATCCAACTAATAAATGCCTGATTCCTGTCATCTGATAGGATGACTGTACTTCCTGTGATTGTCTCCCAAACAAATTAACTGCACCTGAGACTTTGTCTCAGGGTCTTCTTTTAGGGAAAGCTAAACAAATACAGCTCATTTTCAGGGGTTCTAATCTTGCACAGCGACTCCCAAATAAACATTCATACACATGGACTAAGCTAGTTGAATCAGAATCAAATGGGGAGCATTTCAGAGATTCTTCTCTCAACTCCCAACCTACGTTCAGAAAAAAGTAACAACTCCTTTTCCTACTCCCTTTCCCTGGGCCCCCTCATCCTGATGTGCCAGTGATTTGGTGTCACTGATATGGAGACAACTGGGGCGATGCGTAGGTAGATGGATGAATGGACAGATGGGTCAGTGGATAGATGTTTTCATGAATATGTCAATGGTGGGATGGATGAACAAATAAATAGATGGATGAATAGATGAAGGAAAGGATGGAAAGATAGATGAGTGGAGGACAGACGAAAGGATGGATCAGTGGATAGATCAATGGATGAAAGGAAAGCCAGAAGGAAAGACAAATGAGTCCATGGCAATAATATTTAAGCCTAGTAAACCATTAGGGCAGGTATATTCTCTGTGTGGCTCCCTAGCATACCTATACTATTTAACACAGATCTCACAGACAGAATTTACTTAATATATTTTCTGTCTTATAAATGATTTTTTCTCAAACTTAAGTGCTCCAGAGTTGGTGGGGTAGATTCAAGGCAGCTGCTCCTATCCTTGTTATTTTCTTAGTGGAAGGAGGAAAGTGGGACGGAGAAGAGCGTGTCCAGTGCTTTTAGGACTAAAACTCCCATCGCTCTTGGGGGGAACTCACTGACATGATTACATGTACTGAGATGATCATGTGAGGGAATTAAGCATCAAAAGGAAGAAAAGGAATGAGAAGACATACTCTATGGGAGTTAAGCGAATATTTGATAATTTTTATGTTGTGAAATATGCATGCTGAAAAGTGCATAAGTTGGACAGCTTGATGAATTTTCACAGAGAAATGCATCTGCGTAGTAAGCTGTCAGGCCAGGAAACTGAACGCTGTCAATACCCCAGATTTTTTACTTTCTTTAAAAAAAAGACTGTCTGAGGGAAAAAAAGCCGCAGGAGGGTCCTTTAGCCACATCATAGGATAAGGGCTAGGCAGGCTAGCAGGGAGGGACCCAGGGCTGGGGAAGGTAACACCTGTCCCCCACCCCTCGGCATCGGGGCGTGGCTAATAAAGAGGCGGGGCCCAGGCTAGAGGACGCACGGAGGGGCGGGGCTAAATGGCGTGACGCACTGAGGGCGGGGTTTCCCGGCCGGCTGTCCAGGTTAGAGCGAAGGGGCGTGGTCATTTAAAACTGCAGAGAACCAGGCTAAACAACGGCAGGGTTCGCGGCCAGGACCGGTAGGGCCTAGACGTCCCGAAAGCGGCCTGAACCACCAGGAGCGAATCAGGTGGACAGGTTGGTCACGCTTTGCGCGAGGGGGAGGTTTGGAAGCGCTTCATGCGTCGTTACGCCGGGGCGGGGCTTAGCGACGTCGGAGCGCGTTTGCGTTGGGGGCGGGGTCGGAGCGCTCTAAGATGGCGGTGAACGTGTTTCAGTTCCGCGACGCCCGTGCTGCGCCGGATCCCGTGTTGGAGGCTGGGCCGGTGGCACATGGGCCGCTATCGGTGCCGCTGGTGCTAGACAACGGGTCGTTCCAGGCCCGTGCCGGCTGGGCGTGCCCTGGGCCGGACGCAGGCCCCGAGCCGCGCCTGCAGTTTCGCGCCGTGTGCGCCCGCGGACGGGGCGGGGCGCGGGGCGGGACGGGCCCGCAGGTGGGCAACGCGCTGGGCAGCCTGGAGCCGCTGCGCTGGATGCTGCGTTCGCCTTTCGACCGTAACGTGCCGGTCAACCTGGAGCTGCAGGAGCTGCTGCTTGACTACAGCTTCCAGCACCTGGGTGTCTCCTCGCAGGTGAAGGCGGAGGGGGCCGGGCTTGCGGGGAGGGTGAGGTCTGGTCTCCATCGTCCCAGAGATAGTCATTCTGGTAGCTCTGATAAGCGCCGAACTTGAGCTAGGAGCCCCGCAATGATCAGGCAACGCTTTTCTTAATGTTGCCGCGCCCATTAAGACGTGTGCTCGTTAATTATTCCATTTGTTAACAAAGATGTACTTAGTATCTATTCTGTGTCAGGCACTCTTAGGGATTTGGACTACATCTGTGAACAGTACACAAAACTTCCTGTGCTTATGGAGCTACTGTGGAAAGAACCTAGACAGGCGACCGATGCCACGACAGAAGGAGCGAAGGGAGCTACAGTTTTCAATGAGATGGCCAGGGTAGGGCTCGGGAAGAAAGTGATGTCTGAGCAAAGGCCTGAAGGAGCTACTTGAGGGAGCAAGCTCTGGGATTATCTGAAAGAAAAGTATTCCAGTCAGAGGGAGCACACAGTGGAAAGGCACTGAGTCAGGAGTGTGGCCCAGTCCTAGTTGCAAGGCAGCCAGAGTGAGGGGGAAGGGCCTGGAGTATACTACTGGAAGATGTCAGGGAGGTAGTGAGAGGGCAAATTGCACACTTTACAGGTTTTTCCTCTGAGTGCAGTGGGAAGCAGTCAGAAGGCATTGAGCAGAACTGGGTTGTGACTTAACATCTCAAAAGGATGGCTAGGGCTGCTACATAAAGAATGGACTATCATGGAAATGGAGACAGTTTAGAGGCTTTTACAGTAACCCAAGTGAGACATGATAGTGACTTAGAGCAGAAGGGGATGTGGTTAAGAACCAGAGCCAACATGATTTACTAACAGTTTCATGAGGCCTGCCTTAATAACTAAATTGATTCTACTTTAATATGTTGCAAAACAAACTGCGGTAGAGATGAAATGAATGTTTTATATTTCCTCTCATCAGGTTTTTAATTAGAGACCTAAAGCAGATTCTGCTCTGCAATAAGGATTTGGGATTCTTTTATGTTTTAAAAAGATTTGTAGTCTGTTATCACTGGGATTTGTCTTTTTTTTTTTTTTCCAAAGTAGGGCTGTGTCGATCATCCCATAGTTTTGACAGAAGCCGTGTGCAACCCACTGTATTCACGCCAAATGATGTCTGAGCTCCTTTTTGAATGCTACAGGATTCCAAAGGTTGCCTATGGAATAGACAGCCTGTTCAGCTTCTACTACAACAGGCCAAAGAACTCAGTTTCCAGTGGGCTCATCATTTCATCTGGATACCAGTGTACACATATTTTACCCATCTTAGAAGGAAGGTGAGTTGTGCTTGTGGCAGTTAAGTGCTATTTTGAAATGCTTTCAGAACATACTTATTTGGTAACTATGTAAAGGTGTAGTGGAAAGAGCAAGCACCAGAGTATAGACTGAGCTGGGCTTGGCTCTGCCATGCATCATTGTGTGACTGAGTCAGTCACCTCGCCTATCTATTGGGACTTCCTGGAGGGACTCCCAAAACATTCTCTTGTCTAAATCCATAGTTCTAGAATTTTATAATTCTGATTTGTGGGGAGATAGCTAATACAAGGCTTGCAGGTAGTAGGCACCCAATAAAAATGTTTTGAATGAATTATTTAAATAAATTTAATTTAGATCATCTTTGTGTTCTGAAGTCACTTTTTTTTTTTTTTTTTTTTTTGGTAGTACTGGGGTTTGAAGTCAGGGCCTTGCTCTTGCTAGGCAGGTGCTCTACTACTTGAGTCATGTTCCTTTTTACTTTCATTATTTTTTGATTAGGGACTCAACCTTTATGCCCAGGCTGTCCTGGACAGTGATCCTCCAGTTTATGCTTCCCAAGTAGCACATGTCACAAAGACCAGCTTTTTATTGAGTAAGTAGGCTTTCTTGAATCTTTTTGCCCAGGCTGGCCTGGAATCACTATCCTGATCTCCTCCTCCTCAGTAGCTAGGATTATAGATGTGAGCCACTGTGCCTAGCCTGGAGTCACTTTTTTTTATTAAGAGATTAAAAAAATTAAACCTGTTTAATAATTATTTTTCATACCTTTCTGTTCAGCTACAGTGCCTCATGAATAATAGGTACGTATTAAAAGTCTCTGAGTTGAATAAAAGGCAAAAATAGTTTATTCCCGCTTTATAGTTTGTCTTCCTTTCATTGGCCAGTAAGAGACTAGGCCATCATTTTGCCCTCCTGAGATTTCTCACATGAAGGTGTGTACCACAAACAAGGAGCCCTGGCTTTGGTGTTCCATGACTGGATTTGCAGCCCTGCTAAGGATATTAGCCCCTTAGTTTCCTAATGTGTAAAATTGGGAAAAACTGATTTCTCAGGAATTATCCTGAGGATGAAATGAGGTGATGTGGGCGATGGCATTTTGTAAACTATATAGCAGTCTGAATATTTAAGGCACAATAAATGCTGTTGAGTTTAGTGAAGCCTATAATAGGAATTTCTCTTAAAGTTCCTATGAAAATCTGTGATAACAAAAGTAGTTCTTAGACATTACCAAATATTCCTAAAGTATGGAGTTCTTTAAAAGCAGAGTATACAAAAAAAAATCAAAGAACATGATTTTTTTTATGTTATGTTGAAAGAAAATAATTTTCCCGGAAGACTAAGGAATTATCAGATTGGAGCATGTCCTGTTCCATGCTGGCATCTTCTGGTGAGGTGTGATATAACAGCAGCATTTCAATATGCAAGTTCTTGGGCTCAATTTGTTTTCTTAATGTGAGAAAGCAGGAGCAGAAGAGCACTAAGAACTGGCTAGTTGGTAAAGGAAGTAAGAAGAAAGGAAGAAAGAAAGAATATGTAGAAGCTGGGCATGGTGGTGCATGCCTGTCATCCCACCACTTGGGAGGTGAAGGCAAGGAGTGGCAGGAAGATTGTAAGTTCAAGACCAGCCTGAGCTATTTAGTGAGACCCTGTCTCAAAAAAACAAGGAAAGTTTCTCTGTGTTTTTTTTTTTTTGAAAGGGATCTTGTTTTAGGAGATTATGGGATTATGAAAAGCTGGTAAGTGTGTGGTTGTGTCTTCTACTTGCATCAGTAGAAGTGGACTGTGTAGGGAAGCAGTTCTCAAACTCAGCCTGCACCAGAGTCACTTAGGGAGCTTGTTAAGGTAGAGTCCCAGGCCCACCCTGCCCAGAATGGGCCTTGGAATTGGCATGCTTGACATTTCCCCACCTAATTCTAGCATATGTGGTCCCAGGACCACAGTTTGAGAAATATACAATGAATCATGTGAAGGTCTGACTTTGGAATGTGTATTCTTTCTATTGAACCTTGTTTTCTTTTGAGACTCTGACCAGAAGTTAGATGGCAGTATATCTGTCTGGGAGTGGACTAGGAATTCCTGCCTTGGGTAAGAGGTTGGCCCAAGGCAACTTTTGTGTCATTTAGCTGTTGTTTTTATGTCCCCTTTGCTTGTCTGTTTCTTTCCATTAAGTTATATTTCCCCCAAGATGTTCCAAATTTGTTGCCAAAATTTCAGTGTTGTTTTCTACTGCTTTGTTGTAGGCTAGATGCTAAAAACTGTAAACGTATCAATCTCGGAGGAAGCCAAGCAGCTGGTTATCTCCAGCGGCTCCTCCAGCTGAAGTACCCCGGGCACCTGGCAGCCATCACTCTCAGCCGCATGGAGGAGATCTTGCATGAGCACAGCTACATTGCTGAGGACTACATGGAAGGTAATGGAGAGGATGGCAGCTGTGGTGTGGGTGACCTTTGGGGCAGTCCTTACATTGTTACCAGTAGGATTCTTGCTTGCTCACTTTTTTACTTTTTTTTTTTTTTTAAAGCGCCTCTTTCCTCTTTTGGTATTGACTTTCTTAAAATACTCATAAACTGGTAACTTACGTAAAATAGGCTGGCTCCCTTCACGAATGGTAGCTTTATTACTTGCCTCCAATACAGACCTTGGAATTGTACAAGTTTCAGTTTTTTCTAAAAGTTAAACGTTTTTTCACAAGGAGCAGAATATTTTAGACTGAAAACAATTTAAGTTTGAAAACAATCAAATTGTAAATTGTTTCATCACATCCTTAGAATGGAATCTATGCTCCAGAAATGCATCTTTCTCTTTTTAACTTACCTTGAAGTTGTTTTTTGGGTTTTTTTGTGACAGGGGCTTACCATGTAGCTCAGGCTAGCCTCAAACTTAGGATCTTCCTGCCTTGGCCTCCTGATACCTTGAACTTTTGATTGCATTTACATTGGTGGTGTTTTAAGTTACTATCATCACATAAATGTGACAAAAAAAACAATGTGTTCCTCACACGTCTAAATAATTAAGATAAAAAGAAAGAACTGTGGACAATACCCTTGTAAATACAGCTCTGTCTTACAGCATGCAGATGTATTTTCTTGGTGGCAGTAAAGGTGCTGATTTTAGTTTACCACTATTGAGATTTGGAAGAACAAAAATCACTTATTTTAAAAAACAAAAAAAATCCTACAATGTTTATTTTATTTATTTATTTATTTATTTATTTATTTATTTGGCAGTAATGGAGTTCTCAGGGCCTTGCATTTGCTGGGCAAGCACTCCACCACTTGAGCCACATCTCCAATTCTTTTTGCTTTGCGTATGTTTTTGGTAGGGTCTTGCATTTACACCTAGGTTGATGTGATCCTCCTATTTATGCTTCTGTTTAGCTGGGATGATGAGTGCACCCTACCATGCCCAGCTTTTATTGGTTGAGATGATGTCACTCGAAGTTTTTGCCTGGGCTGGCCTTGAACCTCAAGCCTCCCAATTTCTACCTCCCAAGTAGCTCAGATTACAGATGTGAGTCACCACACCTCTTTTTTTTTTTTTCTTTTCCAAAATTGTGATAAAAACCATATAGACATAAAATTTATTATCTTACCCTTTTCTGGTTTTGTTTTGGGTTTTTTTGTTTGTTTTTGAGACAGAATCTTACTATGTAGCTAGGCTTGCCTCCAACTCTTGATTTTCCTGCTTGCCTCCTGAGTGTTGGGATTGCAGGTGTGGTGCACGCCCCAGACAGTCCTCCATATGCATTCATGTTTCATTATTGTTATTACATCAGCAGCATCATTTTAGGTCTGGATTCCACAAGTGAGCAAGGACATGTAGTATTTGGCTTTTTGAGCTTGGCTTATCTTGCTTAACACGATGATCTCCAGTTCTATCCATTTTTCTGCAAAGGACATAACTTTTCTTTATGGCTGAGTAATATTCCATGGTATGTATGTGTGTGTGTGTGTGTGTGTATACATATATATATATATATGTCATATTTTTTTTATCCATTCACCAGTTGTTCAGTTTGGCTGTTGTGAACAGACCTGCAGTAAATATGGGTTTGCAGGTATCTTTCTTGGCATATTGACTTATACTCCTTTGGATATATGCCTAACGGTGGTGGGGTCGTAAGTTAGGTCTATTATTAGTTTTTTGAGGAACCTCCATACTGGTTTCCATAGTGATTGCACTAATTTACATTCCCACCAACAGTGTATGAGAGTTCCTACTGACTGCATTTGTTGTTTTCTTTATGATGGCATTGTGATGGGGGTGAGAGGGAATCTTAGTGTGGTTTTGATTTACATCTCCTTTATGGCCAAGAATGTTGAACATCTTTTCATGAATTTATTAGCCATTTGTATTGTCTTCTGAGAGCTATCAGTTCATTTTCTCCATTTAGTATTTGGATTACCTGTTCTTTTGCTGTTTAATTTTTGAGTTTGTTGTATACTTTAGATATTAATCCTTTATCTGAGGAATAGCTGGCAAAGATTTTCTCCCATTCTGTGAGTTGTCTCTTGATTCTAGTAATTTTTTTTTATGTGCAGAAACTTTCTAATTTGTTAATCCCATTTGTTAATTCTTACTCTTATTTCCTGGGCAGTTGGGAAAATAATTGCCTATGTCTAAATGTATCAGCATTTTCCCATAGTGTTCTGAAGTTTTAGGTCTTACATTAACATCTTTGATCTGTTTGCACTTGATCTTAGATAGGCGTCTAGTTTCATCTTCTGTATGTAGATAGGCAGTTTTCCCAGCACCATTTGTTGAAGAGACTGCCTTTCCTCAAGTATATGTTTTTGCATCCTTTATCAAAGATCAGATGGCTGTAGCTGTGAGATTTTATTTCTGAATCTTCAGTACTGTTTCATTGGTCTTCATGTCTGCTTTTGTGACAGTACCATACTGTTTTTATTACTTTGGCTCTGTAGTATAATTTGAAGTCTCGTATTGTGTTACCTCCAGCATTTGGGGTCTTTCATGTTTCTATAAGATTTTTAGGGCAGGTGCTGGTGGCTCACGTCTGTAATCCTAGCTATTCAGGAGGCAGAGATCAGGAGGATCATGGTTTGAAGCCAGCCTAGGTAAATAGTTTGCAAGACCCTATCTTGAAAATACTTAACACAAAAAGAGCTGATGGAGTGAATGGCTCAAGGTGTAGGCCCTGAGTTCAAACAACCAGTAGAGAAAAAAAAATAATAATAATTTTAGGGTTGATTTTTCTGTTTCTGCAAAGAATGACACTGGGATTTTGATGGGCGTTGCATCAAAATCAGTAGTATGGCAGTTTTCATGATGTTAATTCTGCCAGTCTTTCTGGGCGCCAGTGATTCACCTGTTCACCTGGCTACTTGAGAGGCTGAAATCAGGAGGATTTCTGTTTGAGGCCAGCCCTGGCAACTAGTTCTTGAGACCCCTGTCTCCAAAATAATCAGAGCAAATGGCCTGGAAGTATAGCTCAAGTGGTAGAGAACCTGCTTTGCAAGTACCAGGTGCTGAGTTCAAATCCCAGTTCCACAAAAAACAAAAGGAGAATAGGGGTGAATTTAAGATACACCGTAAGCACTTTTGTAAATGCCACAATGTACCCCCAGCACAACAATACTGTGAATAGTAATAAGAAAAAAAAATTCTGCCAGTCCATGGACATAGTGTCTTCAATTTCTTCTTCGGGATTGTAGAGTTTTCATTGCTGAGATTGTGCACCTCCTTGGTTAAGTTTATACCTAGGTATTTACTTTTGATTTTTTTTTTTTCCCAAGGGACCTGGGTTTGAACGCAGGGCCTACACCTTGAGCCACCCACCAGCCTTTTTTTGTAATGTTTCTTTTTGAAATAGGGTCTTGTGAACTAATTGCCTGGGCTGGCTTCAAACCTGATCCTCCTGACTGTCTGCCTTCTGAGTATCTAGGATTATAGGTGTGAGCCACCAGTGCCCAGCTTGCTTATTTATTTTTAGGCTATTATGAATTGAATTGTTTTCCCCATTTCTTTCTCATCCTGTTCATAGTTGGTATATAGAAAAACTACAAATTTTTGTACGTTTGTTTTTATCTCCTACTACATTCCCAAAAGTGTTTATCAGATTTAGGGGTTTTTTGTTGGCATCTTTAGAGTCTTTTAAGTATAGAATCATATAAGAATGAAATCATATCATCTGCAAATAAGGATAATTTTTTAATTTCTTTCCTTTCTCTTATTGCTCTGGCTAGGAATTCTAGTAGTTTATCGAATAAGAGTGAGGAGAGTGAACATTTTTCTCTCCTTCTTAACTTTAGAGGAAAGGATTTCAGTTTTCCCTGTTTAGTATGATGTTGACTGTGAGTTTGTCATATATAACCTTTATTATGTTGCAGCCCATTCCTTCTAGCCCTACTTTCTTCAGAGCTTTTACCATAAAAGGATGTTGAATTTTGTCAAAGGCTTTTTCTGCATCAGTGATGATCATGTGGTATTTTTTTGTCCTTGATTCAGTTTATGTGCTATATTACATTTAATGTTTTATATATACTGAATCCTCCTTACATCCCTGGAATGAATGAGCTTGGTCATGGTGCATGATGCTTTTAATGTTGCATTTGGTTTGTATATATTTTGCGAATTTTTGTTCATTAAAGAGATCATGCTATTTCTTTATAGTCAGATCCTGTCCCTATCCCAGGCCCAGGCACAACTGTTCGACTATTTTCTATCAATGTTTCTTCTTTTCCAAAATGTCATATAAATGGAATCATATAGTATGTTACCTTTCGAAGCTGACTTTTCTCTCAGCACTGCCTTTGAGATTCATCCAGTTGCTAAGCATATCAGTAGTTCATTTTTGTTGTGGAATTGTGTTCTGTGTTATCCTGTACTTATGAAGGGTCCTTTGTTTTTCTTGAAATGGTCGTCTTGTCAGGCTGGCCCAGAACCCTCAGTCTTCCTGCCTCAGCTTCTTAAGTGCTGGAATTACAGGTGTGCACCATTATGCTCAGTTTAGTCTTTCAGTTGGTGTGTTAAGACCATTTACAATTAATTTATTCATGTTTGAACTTAGGTCCACCATCCCATTACCTGTTTTTTGTTGTTCCCTCAGTTTATTGTTCTTTGTTTCTCTCTCCTGCTTTTTAGGTTATTTGAGCCTTTTTTTTTTTTTTTAAACAGTAAATAAGACTTCACAGTCTCTGTAGAATCAAGATTGGCCACTTAAGTGGAAAGTAGAGATGCTTCACTGGACTTCCTCCTTCCATGTTATGTTGAAGTGTCTCGCGTGTCACATCTCTACATGGACAGTCCATGGACAACACTGTGACTGTTGAGGAACCTGTGAGGAGATTAGCTTCTTATTTAAGCCAGATTGTTCTCATTTCTACTGCTTTTTCTTCTTTGGGACCCTCCAGGCTTCCTTTTGGGATTTCTAGCTGAAGAACATCATTGAGCAGTTCTTTTAGAACAGGTCTGCTGGTGTTACGTCCAGGTTTAACGGCTGCATTGGTTAACCAGTTGAATTGAGAGATTGAGTGGAGTGTCTTTGCTCTGTCTTACCTGAATCTGGAATCCTAGTATTGCCTTTCTGATTTTCGTGCTAATGGTACCTCCATTTCCTAACTTCCAAAATTGTTTCTTTAAAGAATTGGAGAAGTGGCGGTGCCCTGATTATTATGAGAACAACGTCCACAAAATGCAGCTCCCATTTTCTAGTAAGCTCCTGGGCAGCACCCTGACAGCTGAAGAGAAGCAGGAACGGCGACAGCAGCAGCTGCGGAGGCTTCAAGAGCTCAATGCCCGACGGCGGGAGGAGAAGCTGCAGCTGGATCAGGAGCGGCTGGACCGGCTGCTCTATGTGCAGGTGCCAGCAGGTGCCAGGAAGGGGTCTGGCCTTGCTCAGCATGCTGGTCCCAGGGAATCCTCTTCCTCTGATTTTTCTCAGCTATACAGTGTATTAACTACATCATTTGTGGGGTCAAGGAGGAGTCCAGGGGATCAGCAGAATTGAGATCAGTGTACAGTAGTGTAACAGCCTGTGTTTCTGAAGTAGTTGCAGACTCTAGCTTTATTGATTTTTATTTTTGCACTTATTTTTAGAATCGCCTTTATTTTATTTTTTAATCTTTTCCATTTAAGTGTAGCATACCTGATACAAAGGGCTTAAATCTTAAGTGCATCTTGATGAATTTTCCCAGCGATACACATGCACATATATGGTATGCATTGAGAAGTAGTATCATCCCTATATCTCATCTCAATCAGTAACTCCTTCCCCTACAAAGGTGACATCATTTCTGACATCTGTTACCATAGATTGGTCTTGCCTCATAAGGTGGTATGAAACCAGGACACAATGCTAGCCCAGACAGCTGGAGAGGAGGGCTGGTGTGCACCTTTGGTGGGAGCTGGGGGAGGAGCAGGGGGACTGATTCTGTGGGGGGCAGGCTAGGGAGCTCTGGGAGCCCTTCCTGCTACACTTCTCTTTGGCTTTTAAGCTATTTCTCTTTCCTCCTGGTTTGTCTTTGAGGAAGAATTGTGACTGCTTTGGTTTCAGGAACTTCTAGAGGATGGCCAGATGGATCAGTTTCACAAAGCTCTGATAGAGCTGAACATGGACTCCCCAGAAGAGCTGCAGTCCTACATACAAAAGCTCAGCTCAGCAGTGGAGCAAGCAAAGCAGAAAATCCTTCAGGCAGAGGTCAACCTCGAGGTGGATGTAGTGGACAGCAAGCCAGAGGTGACTGAGGGCCTTGAGAGGGAGACCCCCTGGGGTCACTCGGGGGGGGGTCTCCCCTGAGGGGAGGAGTGGACATCAAAGGGGTTGTAAGCTTGGGAGGGAGAGCAGCAAAATAAGTGATGGTGGTAGGAATGCCGGGGGAGGTGACAATGGCAGCAAACCTGTCCCAGCTAAAGTTCCGGCCATAGTGACCTCATCCCTGGGAGGGAGAAGTTTGTGTAGGCCAGGAGGAACATTTGCATCAGTATTGTGGTACTGTTCTTAACTGGGCTGTTCCTTTGATTGGTGTTTGACAGCTGATCATGTTTTCACTTTCCCTTTCTGCGCATGTTTTTATTAAATGCATTGAGGCTATTGTTCATTTGTCTCCTTTCCATTTGTACCCTAGGGACGGAGCTCATATTTCTACATAATTATTAATTTCTTTTATTGGTTTTTTTTGTGGTACTGGGGTTTGAACTCAGGGCTTCATACTTGCTGGGCAGGTGTTTTACCACTTGAGTCACTTTGCTATCCCTGTTTTGTGTTGGGTATTTTCGAAATAGAGTCTCATGAACTGTGTTTGCCTGGACTGGTTTCAAACCACCAGCCTCCTGAGTAGCTAGAATTGCAGGTGTGAGCTACTGGCACCTAGCTAGCTATGATTTTTTTTTTACATTATTATTGCACGTAGTAGATGTGTTCAATAAAATGTTTGTAGGTTGTCTTCAGATCTGCTTTTTGTTAGATGCTGAAGACTGGCTATAGACTTGGTGAGGACAGTAACCAGCCATGAGCATGCTTGCTCTATTGGGCAGATCCTGACTGAGGCTTCCTAGGTGGCTTTCTCTGGATCACTAAGCCCTAGGAGAGAAGGGCCTCTGTCACTAATCTCATTGCCCCACAGCATTCAGATCAGCTTCCGTTGATTCACTGCTTTTTACTTCTCCCAGACTCTAGGTCTGTGCTTCATATTTGAGCTATGGTTTACTGAAATTCAGAACCATGTTGTCTCTGTTTAGTTTTTATTGGGTTTGATAGATCAATAGGACATAAGCTTCTTGATACCAGAGAGGTACCACTACACCACATGCAAGTGAGGGGTGTCAGATTTACAAAGGAAAAACCAAACAGTAGTGAAGATTCTCTGAGCAGTCAGAGTATTGGTTTTCCCTTTTCTTTGTTCTTTTTCTGCACTTGTTTGTGCTGTTATTGAAGCCACTCCTCCATTCACACACAGGTACTTCTTTTTTTTTTTTAATGTCTTTTTTTTATTATTCATATGTGCATACAATGCTTGGGTCATTTCTCCCCCCTGCCCCCACCCCCTCCCTTACCACCCACTCCACCCCCTCCCTCTCTCCCCCACCCCCTCAATACCCGGCAGAAACTGTTTTGCCCTTATCTCTAATTTTGTTGAAGAAAGAGTATAAGCAGTAATAGGAAGGAACAAGGGTTTTTGCTAGTTAAGATAAGGATAGCTATACAGGGAGTTGACTCGCATTGATTTCCTGTGCATGTGTGTTACCTTCTAGGTTAATTCTTTTTGCTCTAACCTTTTCTCTAGTTCCTGGTCCCCTTTTCCTATTGGCCTGAGTTGCTTTTAAGGTATCTGCTTTAGTTTCTCTGCGTTGAGGGCAACAAATGCTAGCTAATTTTTTAGGCGTCTTAACCTATCCTCATATCTCCCTTGTGTGCACTCGCTTTTATCTTGACACAAAGGTACTTCTCACGCATCTATTTGTTCTATGCTCTGGGGAAACACATCCTTGGGCTTGAAGAGATTTTGAAATGTACTTTCAAAAGATTTCTCTGTATACAACAAACTTGGTGAATTTACCTGTCACTGAAGCATTAATGGTCAGCAAGCATTTATTGAGGGTGATTGTTAGCAATTAGTCAGTTACAGTTATATTTGTGAGATAAATTTGTGACACTTTTGCCAATTCTGCCTTTCAAAAAGTATTTGTAGTGGGACACCAGTGGGTCATACCTGTAATCCTAGCAACTTGGGAAGCAGAGATCAGGAGGATCTCTGTTAGAAGCCAGCCCAGGCAAATAGTTCACATGACCCTATCTTGAAAATACCCAGCACAAAAAAGGGCTGGTGGAGTGGCTCAAGTGGTAGAGCACCTGCCTAGCAAGGCTGAGGCCCTAAGTTCAAAACACAAGTGTTGCCAAAAAAAAAAGTAATCGTAGTATTTTTCAACAATATAATTTACGTAGAATGAAATGAGTAGATACATGTGGGCTGAAGTTCATATTGGAATTCCACTCAAGCAGTAAGACTGAATTGGATTAATGCAGCTGTAACCTTTAAACTTCACAAGTGTTGCTAACATCCATTTTTTTCCTGCAGACTGATCCATTCTGGTCTTTGCTATTGTACAATTATTCCCACGAGTATGTTGTAAAGGAGCAGGCTCTGATAGTTACTCTCAATGAAGTATTTAAACTAGAAGATGCTGCAAGCACTAAATTGGAGGGTGGGGCAGGGGAGCACAGTTTTAGAGTGTCATCATTTATTGGAAAACACAATAGGGCAAATACAGAAAGTTCTGTGGCAGTTCTTATGCTGCTTGAGGCTGTGCCAGCAAGCCCTGCTGCTGCTTCTCTGACATGCTTTGGGCAAACTTGTTCTGTTCCTTTCCAAAAGCACAGTCATATTAGGGTTCCTGAGCTCCATACGCTACATGTAGATACCCTGGCAAATCTTAGAGGGAGTTGCTGGCCGTGGCACAGAAGTCTCTTCTCTGTTGGATATATGTTCTTCCTGTTGATATTACTGGCTTTGTTCCTGTCTGTGAATCATATGAAACGAAATAAGTAAATACTGTTTATATCATTTTTAGTGAATCCGTGAAGTTATCTTATTTGTAAGGTGACGTGTTTAAATGGCGCTTGATAGATAAGGGTGAATGATGAAATTTTTTCGCAGAAATATTTTGAAATCCAAAGGTCTTCTCTACTTTGGGGGAGTTTGAAGGTGTATCCCAGAGGCCTACCACTTAGTGCCAAGCATGTAGAGATACGGTTCTTGCCCTCTTGGGTACTTAAGAAAAGGAGGGGAGTGAGGGGAAGCATGTCAGATGGGCAGTAGATCTGTGGGGATACATGTGGGTTTTTGAGGCAGGCCCTGAAAGGTGGTTTGATGTCAGCAGATGAGGTGGGAAACACATTTTAGATGGAGGGAACCAGGTGTGCAGTGAGGTCTGTTGAGTGTGGGCAGGATGTATGTGGCCAGAGGTGACATGGGGGTAGCTGTAAAGATCTTTTGTCAGTCAGGCTAAGGAGCCTGAGCATGGGGAAAGACAGGACAAGTGAGAGTTTCTTGTAGGAAGATAACTAGTGGTAGTTAGGATGATGACTGATGGGAGGCAAGGCTGAAGATGAGGAAACAATATAAAAGTGTCATATATCCACAAGAGGGCTGATGCATGCTTGAGATGTGTCAGAAGCTATGGGGGCGACAGGGAGGAGGAGATGGTTCAGAAGCAAGATCCAGAGATCTTGGTGCCTTTATAAGCCAAGGTGACAGGTGTGGCAGTGGCTGGTGATAATAGAGCACGTGGTGTGTGCCAGAGCTCCTGCTGAGCACTTCTGCAAACGAAGTGTTGGTTGATTTTCACAACTCAGTGAGTAGGTAGTATCCTCACTCCCATTTACAGATGAGGATACAGACTTTAGGGAGTAAAGAAACTTGTCCACAGTCACATAGCCAAAAGTGGCAGCTGAGATTCAAACACAGACAGTTCCACTTCAGAGTCCATTCTTGGAACACTCAGCGTGTGGATGGCGGTGCCTTTGAGCAAGTTTGGACAGATAATGAGCTTAGCTTTGAGCACTTGATCTTGAAAGTCTCTGTGGGACATCAGGAGCTTTCCAGGACTTGCTGTGGAGAACACAGTGTCATGTGAGAGTTAGAAAATACTGGGAAGCCAGGGGGAGATTGAGAACAATAAGGCAGAGAAGAGGGAAGCCAGAAAGGTTGCTGGGAGAGTTAAAGAGCACTGGCATCCTGACCTAGGGTGGAAGATGACCCTAGGAAGCAAGGGGGAGGGAGGACTCATTAATCACCTGGCATTGCCCACATTGTGTCTGCATAAAGATGGAGAGATGGCTCAGAGTGCACTCCTCCAGCGGTCACTGTGACCTGTCATGTGGCTGTGGCTGTCATGCAGAGCTGGATCAGCTGCCTCCAAAGCCAGACCTCTCTCTGTTAAACCACACTGCCTTGTGGTTCCCGGCCTTCTCAGATAAAAGGGAACTTTGATGATTCATTCTGGTCCTCTGGGATCATGCCCAGCCAGAACAGGCATGGGCATTCCGTGCTGGGCCTCCTTTTTTGTGAGGTCTTCAAGTTCACAGCTGAGGACAGTTTAGCTGCCACTGCGTGGACAGAGGAGCCTGCCCTTCACATTAGCTGGGTTGCTGCCACAGGTCATCTCTCTGTTACCCACTCCAGCTGAGTATTTTCCTATTCCTGAGTCTTGCACTGTGACTTCTGATTTATAGAACTGCAGCTTAAGACATAGCAGTGACTTGCTGAGCAGTTATGTTCCCAGATGGTTTTCCAGTACTTACCAGTGTGCCAGCTACCTCACTCAGGAGATGCAGTAATGACACCTGCAATGTAGGTCAAGAGATGGCAGGGGTACCTGCCCCAAGACTGGTGCTCGCTGACTTCACTGGGAGAAGGTGGCTCTAGATTCTTGTCCCTAACCCACTTCGCTCTCCCTGATCTCTGCTTCCTAAGTAGCTAAGATTACAAGTGTGAGCCACCAGCACCCAGCTACATTACCTTTTTATAAAGCAGCCAGGTGCCGGTGGCTCAAGCCTGTAATCCTAGTGACTCAGAAGGCAGAGATCAGGAGGATTGTGGTTCAAATAGTTCACGAGACCCTATCTCAAAAAAAAAACCCATCACAAAAAAGGACTGGTGGAGTGGCTCAAGGTGTAGGCCCTCCAAATACATAAATAATAAAGCAGCCTTCTCATCCTGTCTCAGGTGAGGAAATAGCCCTTTTCCTTACCATGTGTTACCCAAGCCTGGAAAATGACACTTAAATAAAGGAGAATCATTCAAATGGAACAGACTTTAGAATGCATTGTCACCTTTGTGTTCACGACCCTATCTCAAAAAAAAAACCCATCACAAAAAAGGACTGGTGGAGTGGCTCAAGGTGTAGGCCCTCCAAATACATAAAATAATATAAGCAGCCTTCTCAATCCTGTCTCAGGTGAGGAAATAGCCCTTTTCCTTACCATGTGTTACCCAAGCCTGGAAAATGACACTTAAATAAAGGAGAATCATTCAAATGGAACAGACTTTAGAATGCATTGTCACCTTTGTGTTCACCATGTATACCACATGACTTCTGTTGTGTGAATGTGGTGGGGTATTGGGGTATTGAGGGTCATGCCTGTTTAGGAGTATATCTGAATGCCAGGCTGCATTTGTACTATATATAGATGGATTCTAGAGAAGTATCTTTAAATTTTTGAATTACATTGGTAATTCACATACATTATAGACCCTGAGAATCTTCGCAGGCACACTTGGCTGTTGGTTACGAGTACCCTTGATATCTCCCGAGACACCACCATATAAGACAGGCTGCACTATAAACTTCTGTCATCTGTAGAGCACTCTTCTCTGGGATGCACAAAACCTTTTCTCCCTGTATCTTCTCCCCTTTGAGTACAGAGGGGTGAGACTCACTGCCTTTCACAGGACACATCTTCACAGACCAGCCCCTTTTTTATTGTCCAGGTTAAGATGAGAACAGAAGTGCCTTAAGTAAGCCTTCCTTTGGGAACAGTGCCAGCATGTCCAGGCCCCACCCAGAGTTATGGTCACGGGAGAGCAGAGCTGTACCGCAGGACTCCGTGGATAGAAAGAATCTGCAACCTCAGGGCTTTTAGCCCAATGGGACGTGCTGTTAGGGACTGGGTGTTGGGCCACACGCTCATTAGTTATTTAGAGATGCATTTAGTTTTGCTGATAGTCTAGCTTCTCTGTGGACACCCAGTGTCGCCACCTGTGCCCTGAGAATAATGTGTGGGGTGTAATTGGAGCAAGCATCCCTTCTGCTCCAGGCTCAGCCTATAATTGACACCATCAGAAGGTTTCAGAGAAGGCAGGCCTGTATACGTAGGAAAGGTAGGGATTAAAGCAAAGCCCATTCCTGGCTTTTAGTCTTTTGTTCATGTGTGTTCCTATTTAAAAATAGCTCAGAAAATTGTTCATAGTTTTTACATTAGCTTTTGGAACATTGGGCAAGATCCCAGTTCATTTTTTGAACAGCGAATGGATAGAACTGAGGCTTACTGGTGGTACAAATTATTTTTCATTTATTCGGTTGCATTCTATCTGCCTTAGACCCCTGAACTGGAGCCACTGGAGCCAACTCTGGAGGATATGGATGGCGTGAATGATTTTGAGCCCTTGTTCTCAGAGGAGGCACCTGAAGTGGAAAAGCCCGTCGCCACTGTCCAGGTTTGACTCCTGCCACCAAGTGCATGGGTGCACTTTGAAGCAGTGACATAAGTGACCAGTCCAGCCTGCTTCTTTAGGAGCGTATTTTTAAAACCCCGGTTGTGTTTTCTAGAAGAGGGTTCTAGGACTTACTGTCAGTCAGGGTCTTCCCATGGTTGGTGTTCTAGCCCCTTGAGTTGAATCTGAGCAGCTTGTCTTCCTGTCAGGAACGCTTGACCAGGTGACTGGAGTCTTTCCACCTGTAGACTGACATGAAGTGGTTTCCTTTACATTACACCAGTGTCACTACACTCAACCACATCGGGGTCTGCATTTCTGTCATTATAGTGGCAGCTGGGTAAATTGACCTGAGTCTGAAGCCTCTTCCTATATAAGACCAGGGATTAAGCCAGGCACTGAGTGAAGACATGGTCTTCCAAACTCTTAAGTTGATACAAGAAAGAGTAGGAAATACTCTGGAGTTAGTAGGTATAGGTAAGAACTTTCTCAATGAAACCCCAGCAGCACAGCAACTAAGAGATAGCATAGATAAATGGGACCTCATAAAGCTAAAAAGCTTCTGTTCATCAAAAAATGTGGTAAGAGAACACCCACAGAGTGGGAGAAAATATTTGCCAACATACATCAGACCAACGGACTGATAACCAGAAAACAGGGAACTTAAAAAACTAAATTCTCCCCAAAAACTAATGAACCAAAAAGAAAATGGGCACGTGAACTAAACAGAACTTTCTCAAAAGAAAAATTTCAAATGGCCAGAAAACACATGAAAAAATGCTCACCATCTCTAGCAATAAAGGAAATACAATTAAAACACACTAAGATTCCACCTCACCCCTGTTAGAATAGCCATCATCAGCAACACCACCAACAACAGGTGTGGCGAGATGCGGGGAAAAAGAACCCCTTACACTGTGGTGGGAATGTAGACTAGTACAACACTCTGGAAAAAAATTTGGAGGCTACTTAAAAGCTGGACATCGATCTACATTTGATCACAATACCACTCTTGGGATATACCCAAAAGACTGTTACTCCAGAGGCACCTGCACATCCATGTTTATGCGGCACTATCACAATAGCCAGTTATGGAAACAGCCAAGAGCCCCCACCACTGATGAATGGATTAAAAAATGTGGTATCTATACACAATGGAATTTAGCAGCATGAAGAAGAACGAAATGTTATCATTCGCTGGTAAAGATGGAATTGGAGAACATCATTCGGAGTGAGGTTAGCCTGGCTCAAAAAACCAAAAATCGTATGTTCTCCCTCATATGTGGACATTAGATCAAGGGCAAACACAACAGGGGATTGGACTATGAGCACATGCAAAAGCGAGAGCACACAAGGGAGGGGTGAGGATAGGTAAGACACCTAAAAAACTAGCTAGCATTGTTGCCCTTAATGCAGAGAAACTAAAGCAGATACCTTTAAAGCAACTGAGGCCAATAGGAAAAGGGGAACAGGTACTAGAGAAAAGGTTAGATCAAAAGAATAACCTAGAAGGTAACACCCATGCACAGGAAATCAATGTGAGTTAATGCCCTGTATAGCTATCTTTATCTCAACCAGCAAAAACTCTTGTTCCTTCCTATTATTGCTTATACTCTCTCTACAACAAAATTAGAAATAAGGGCAAAATAGTTTCTGCTGGGTATTGAGGGGGGGGGGAGAGGGAGAGGGCGGAGTGGGTGGTAAGGGAGGGGGTGGGGGCAGGGGGGAGAAATGAACCAAGCCTTGTATGCACATATGAATAATAAAAGAAAAAAATAAAATAAAATAAATTCCAGACCAAAAAAAAAAAAAGACATGGTCTTCCTGCAGGGCTTTTTCACTGCTGCTCTCCATGAAGCCCCTTCCTGCAACTCAGGGAGCATGGTGTGTAGTGCAGTGTGTAGGGCTGTGTTGCTGTGCAGTTGAATTAAGGTGGAAAATGGAATCATCAAGTGAGGAGAATTGGGGAGAGGCTTTTCTGGCATGAACAGACAACAGGAGCTACCCTGGAATAAGAAATACAGTTTGAGGAGACTGGCACTTGGGATGATTGTCATTATGGCCTAAAAATATCTCTTAAACCTTGGGTTTTTAAAGCCCGTGTTTAACTTGGCAGCGTATCACCAGCTGTTTGTTGGGACAGAAAGAATCCGAGCTCCAGAAATTATTTTCCAGCCATCTCTCATAGGAGAAGAGCAGGCAGGCATAGCAGAAACTCTTCAGTACATCCTGGACAGGTGAGGCTGTATGACACATTTTTTATACTACTAGCCATTTCCTTGGGTTTGGATTGAAAAGATTTGGTGGTTGGGGCACTTAGAGAATCTGCTTTGCACTTCATTCTGTTCACCTGCTGTGCTAGATAGTCTTCTCTGTCACCATGTCTGCATGCAGGAGCCTCTGTAAGTGTTCTCTGAACATTGGAGGAGCTTTAAGTTTGAGTAACATTTGCACTGGCTTTTATAGGAAACATTTTATTAAAGACCAGTGGTTTTATTTAGTTTTGAGAAATAGCCTTGCTCTGTAGACCAGGCTGACCTCAAACTTGGGAGTTATCCTGACTCAGCCTCCTGAGCAACTAGGATTATAGACAGGTATGCACCACTGCACCCAGAAAGACTAGTGATTTTTTTTATTACTCATTTATTCATATGTGGATACATTGTTTGGGCCATTTCTCCCCTCCACCTGCCTTCTAGGCAGAACCTGTTCTGCCCTCTTCTTCAATTTTATTGAAGAGAAGACATAAGCAATAATAAGAAAGACATAGCGTTTTTGCTAGTTTGAGATAAGGATAGCTATACAGAGAGATTCCTAGCATTGCTTCCATGCACATGCGTATTACAACCCGAACTGATTCATCTCTACCAGAGTCTTCATTACTTAAGACTGGTGATTTTTAAATCACCCTAAATATATTGCAGTTTTGTCCCCTCCTCGAGGGTATCTCTTTATAGATGAGCTCACATTTCTGTAAATGCCCACTTACACAGGAGTTTTTCCACAGTGAGGGTGTTCCTAATTGAAGCTAGACAAGCAGGTAGCACAGTCTGATACTCTGGCTGCTTCTGGTTATAGTAATATGGAAAAGTGCACTTTGCAAGAAAAAAATGGTTTTGTAGCTACTTTCAGTGGCTTTGAGTTTTGTCTTTATAATGAGTAGGAAAGTGATCAAATACACATAACAAAAAGATGTTATTAAAAAAAAAAACCAAAAACAAGCCAGGTGTAGCAGCAGCCTTTAGTCCCACCTACTCAGAAGTCTGAGGTGGGAGGATTACTTGAGCCCACGAGTACAAGACCAGCTTGGACAATGTAGTGAGACCTTGTCTCAGAAACAAAACAATAAAAGGGACAGGTGGAGAAATGGGCCTTCAACCCAGAGGGGAGGCAGGACTTTTGGGAATGATGAAAATGTTCTTTGTCTTGATTGTAGTGATGGTTAGTAGGGCATATAAATTTGTCAGACTGTATCAAAATAATGTAAATTACTCTTTAATAAAGTTGATTTTTAAAGAAACAGTTAAAAAACCAGAACAGTTCTAGCCATGTTAAGGAAATGAATTGACCGTTCAGATTTAGGTTTTGATTAGATAATTAGAAACATTGGACTGACATTTCTGTAAAGATACTGGTAAAAAATGAAAGTTTTTGTTTTATTTTTTTAAGAGTTCAAGTAGATGTTTTAAAAAAAAATGTGTTTTGTATTGAGAGCTTTCATTTCCAGTCTGCAGTGTCTTTGAACATTCAAATTGGAGGGTCATCTTTCTCCTAGGTACCCCAAGGACGTTCAGGACACACTGGTCCAAAACGTCTTCCTCACTGGTGGCAACGTGATGTATCCAGGGATGAAAGCCAGAATCGAGAGGGAACTGCTGCAGATGAGGCCCTTTCAGTCTTCTTTCCAGGTACTGCTTGTTAATTTACCCAAGTTTAAGAATCACATGAATTGTTTTCTGATTGCAAAAATAGAAAAGTGAATGAGAAAAATTATTGTATAATTCCATCATCCAGATATACCCACTGTTGACATTTTTGTGGCTTTTCTTCTGGTCTTTAATCTGCACTTAATTTTTGAAGTAGAATTGGAATTGTGTTTTGCATACTACTTTGTCATTGACAGTATATAAAAATATTCAAAGATAATGAAAGTGCATACATTTAGAATAAGTCACTCTCTCTACCTCCAGGAAAATTGTCTTTCATAGTTTTGTGTACATGTGAGTGGGTCTTGCTTATTTGAATTTTCTTGATTTGTCATGAACATTTTTCCATGTCATTATTCTCCTTAAATACCATTTTTTATGACTGGCATGAATGCCCCATTATTTATCTGCTGAATTCCTGATTATCAAGAGTGTGGTGTCAGCTTCCCCTTGCAGCCCAGGCACTTTGCGATGCTGAGACATCCTGGACACAGACTTTAGATACAAGGACCTTGCTGTCTGTGTGAGGGGCAATAGTCAGATGGGCGTTGATAACCCCGAGCACAGTAGACATGCTGCATGGGCACCTAGCAGGCTCCACTGATGTTCAGAGAAGGTTCAGTGGAACAATATTCTGAGGTGTTAGGGGGTTTGCCATCTGTATGTGTGAATGGGTTGGGTTGGAGAAAGTATTTCAAAGGGAAGGACTATTGTGAACAAAGGTGCAGGGTAAGTAGCTTGTCGAGGGAGGGCAATGTGAGTGTGGCCAAAACCCATGGCTGCTAAGGACGAATGGAGATAAGGAGGTGGAGTAGTCAGCAGGGCACACAGGATGCAGAGCCTGCGTGTCCTGCTGGGAAGTCTGACCTTGATCTGCTCTCCTGTAGATGTTTTATAGGTTCAGGGTTGCTGACCCCAGCCTTGCTCCTGTTAGGAGCAATGGGAAGTAAGCATTAACAGCATCACAAAGAATGCCAGGTTACCCTGTTGGACTGTGTTTTCTCCTGGGGACAGAGCTGCCTTGCATTAGCTTTCACTTCACCTCTGTCCTGACAGAGGTGGTTGACAGCTGGCCCCTCTGACCTAGAGTTGTAGGCCGTGCCTTGGGAAAAGTGTTATCTGTGTCCTTGGGTGCTCTCTGGAGGAGGCTGTGCATTTCAGCTCACCTTTGTAGGATGCAGAGACCATCTTGTACCATGTAGGAGTCAACTGGGGCCCTGCATGTGGGTTTCTGAGGGTGCACGGGAGGGGGCCGTGGCTGAGCCTACAGAACATGCACACATGTTGCCAAGACATCTAGTGAACCTCTGTTTCTTGTTTCAGGTTCAGCTCGCCTCGAACCCCGTGCTGGATGCCTGGTATGGTGCTCGGGACTGGGCCTTGGACCACCTGGAAGACAATGGAGCCTGGGTCACTAGGAAAGAATATGAAGAAAAGGTGGGGAGTACCTCAAGGAGCACTGTGCCTCCAACATCTACGTCCCCATCCGCCTGCCTAAGCAGGCTTCCCGTGCCTCAGATGCCCAGGCATCTAGCAGAGGCTCTGGGGGTTGTGGAAATGGCACTGGTGAGCAGGCCTAGTGCAGGGGCCTCTAAAGGGATAGCCATGTCAGCCACCTGACAGAAGAACTGTGCTAGATGTATCCGCCCAAGTCAGTTACTGGTCATTTTGGCTACAAACTGAATAGAGATGGAGGACGGTGGGAGCTCCCCTTCAGAGGAACTGGGCTGTCCTGCTTCAGTGAAGAACCTTGAGTGGCCTCTGGCATCTGGGGAACTGGATGGCTATGGCTTTGGCTTCCTACACCAGTAACTAAAGACAGATGGAGGCCAAAGGCGGACAGAAGGCACAAGATACTTTTCACTGCATTTGAAGCCTTTAAAAAGAGGGGAAGAAACACCCTAAAATGTATCATCATAGACATTTTATTCTTCTGCATTTATCTGAAGTTGTGTGAATGCCCAGCAGGGGAGCGGTCTGACGTGTATATGAAAAGGTAATGTTTGGCTCAGCATGGTGGCACACACTTGTGATCCCAACACTTGAGAAGTAGAGACAGGAGGATGGTGAGTTCCAGGCCAACCTGGGCTACATAGTGCAATCCTGTCTCAAAGAATAAAAGGTAACATTTCTGCTATAAAAGCTGTCACCTGTTGAATCTTGGGAGCGGGAAATAGGTCCCTCCTTCTGTTGTTTTCCCTTACAAGTAAGAGGAAAAAGCCCAGAGAACATCACCATCTTGTGCAAACTCACTGTGTTAGCTAGGGACGTACTTAGCTACTTAGTGGCCTCTTCTGCATGGGCAGAAATAGAGCCCATGGCACAACTTTATTTGTTGGAAAACTTTTCTGCCAAATGAGAGCTTAGTACAAATTTTTTATCTCTGACACTGAGTTTGGTAGCTCCTAAACTTTTTCAGGCCTTTCTGAAGATAGAAATGGACTGATGGAAGTTCATCCTGTGGCCTTTTCAGTTTTGTCACAGTCTCACATCCCTGTGTCTTCAGACCTTCATCTTACATGGACAGACAGCTGCTCTCTTACAAAGCTTGTGTGGTGAGTTTAACTCTCAGACACACCCAAGAGCTGAGGCCAGAGGCCCTGAGCTGCTAACATCACAGAATCCATTCACTTAGAGCCATGGAGCACCCAGGAGGGCTCCACCCCTGTGATGAAGCCTCCTTATACCCTGTTTGCTTACGTTTGCCAAGGGTAATTATCTGGTTCTCCAGCTGTAGAGGGGGGTAGAAGACCCAGGCTGACCCATGAGTTCCCAGAGCATTGCCTGCTGAGCCACTGGCTGGCCATACCTGGGCCAAGGACTGAGAGAGTAAGTGGCAAGCAGCTCAAGCTGTTAAGAAATTATGCAGACAAGCTCCATGAGAGATGTCTTCCGAGCATGAGCCAGCAAGAGGGCTGTCATTCTGGGGTCTTCCCACTGTTCAATATTTAAACAACCTGATCAGCAAGGGTAGGGTCACTAGACTGCCCTGGAGCTCAGGCCCAGGCAGATTAGCCTGGGCACCTCATTGTTGGGAACCAAAAGCCACAGTCTGACAAGGTCACTGTGGCTTAGCAGCATTCCGACAAGGTCAGAATCTGCAGGTGCACCATGCCTCTGTCATGGTGGGAAGGAATGCTAAATGGTTTCCCTTGACTAAAAAGAAGTTTATACATAGTCAAGGACACTGGCAGTAAGAATGAAGGATAGAAAACAGAAAAGTTTTAACTAGGTCAGCGTGTTTTTGATGTTTAAGTCTCTTCCTCTTTTGTATAAAGCTGGCTGAGAAAAATAAAATTTTGCCAGTTGGTCATCAGCTTGCTAGCCCTCTCGATATGTGTTTGTCATTCCCTTCCTGAGTGAGTCCTTTCGTGTGTCCTATCTTGTTCATTCCTGCCCTGAGCCCTTTCGGGTTAAGGACCTCTGCGATCCCGGCACCTCATAGTTGAACAAGCAGTAAGCTGACCTACGTGGGTTGTTGGAAAACAGGAGGGGTCAAGGACTTGGTGGGGACAGGCCAAGGAGCTGAGCCTTGAGCTCTCTAGTATCATCTCCCATCAAGCATGTGTGACCTTTCATGATCGCCTTCACAGGTGCAGCTCTTGGGGAATCCTGACCTTTCCTAGCACACTAGACAAGCTTGCTGTCCGCCAGTCTCCTTTGCCCGTCACACAAACCACCAACCAAGTGCTCACTACATATCTCAGGCTTTAGACCCCAGAGGATCTCTTCTACACTGCGACATATTTCCCAAAAGCAGAGTTGTGTTTCATTAAGCTTGGAGTAGCCAGGGCCCAGAGCTGCACCTGGAGGGTGCCAAGGGCCACAGGCACTGTGACCCTGGTGACACCTTGATTTGGGACCTGCCTCCAGAACAAGTATCTTGTTTTAGGCACCTGGTTTGTGATAATTTATTCCAGCCTCCCTTGAAAACAAGGACAGGTGGCCAGGCTGAGTTGGTGACTCAGAGCAGGTGCAAGTAGTTAATTGCAAGAGAGAAATAACTTAGCCATAATGGAGGAGTCCCAGCAGTAGCAGAACATGGAGATTTACCCCCAGTAAACTAGGAGGATGAGGGAGGGAGCAGAGGTCTTGGGACACTCCCCATTTTGCCCCCTTTCCAGCCCCTGTTCTCTGCTTTTATGAGTTGGCTATTTTCGATACGTAACACATTTTTTTTTCTTTCAAGTTTGAACTCAGGGCCTCACACGTACTAGGCAGGTACTCTTACTGGTTTGAGCCACTCTGCCAGCCCTCAGATACCGCACAGAAGTGGAATGAATCATGCAGTTTCTTCCCTGTAGCTAGCTTATTTCACTTAACATAATATCCTCCAAGTTTATCTGTGTTGTTATACTGGCAAGATTCTTGGCTGAATAGTGTTTGTATTTCTAGCCCACATTTTCTTTATCTGTTCATCCCTTGATGGACCTTGGGGTTGCTTCTTTGTCTTGGTTATCGTGAATAGTGCTTCAGTGGACATGGGATGTAGATAACTCTTTGAGATCCTGATTTCATTCCTTTGGATGTGTGCCCAGCAGTGGGGTTGCTGGATTGTGGTGGTTCTTGTTTTCTTTCAGTCCTGGGCTTACATTCCTACCATCAATGTCTAGGGTTCCCATTTCTCCATATCCTTGACAGTTCTTACTATTTTCTGTTTTTATTTTGTTTCTTAAGGCTTTTTCCTTTTTTTGGTGGTACTAGGGTTTGAACTTGGGGCCTTGTGCTTGCTAGGCAAACACTACCACTTGAGCCACTCCAGCAGTCCAGTTTTTTTAAAAGACATTTTTACTAGCATATACTAGTTCACAGGGTTTCACCATAGGGTTCCATGAGTATATTGTACTTCAATCAGATTGACCTCTCTGCTACTCTCTTACCCTTTCCCTCATCTCCCATTATTCAGCAGCTTTCATTATCCTTCCTTATGCCATCTTCACATAGATACAACACATTTTGGACATTAGTCACTCTGTCAGGCTAACAGCTTTTGATTTGCATTTCCCTGATGATTAGTCATGTTGAAATTTTCATACACCATTGGCCATTTGTATGCCTTCTCTGTAGAAATGTGGACTCAAGCCCTTTGCCCATTTTAAACCAGGTAGTTTGTTTTTGTTACTGGGTTGTAGACGTTCTTTATATATTCTGGCCCTTAATTAAGTCTTTTTTAGATATGTGGTTTGCAGATGCTTTCTTCCTGTTCTGTAGGCCACCTTTTCATTTCTGTTTGTTCCCGTTTACTGTACAGGTTTTAGGCTTGATGTAGTTCCATTTGTCTTATTTTTGCCTTTGTTGCTTGTGCTTTTGGTGTCCTATCCAAAAACTCATTGTCAAATCTGATGTCCTTTATGTTTTCTTCTGGGAATTTTAGTTTCAGGTCTTTTTTTTTTTGGCAGCTCTGGAGTTTGAACTCCAGGCCGCACACTTGCTAGGCAGGTGCTCTTATTGCTTGAACCACTCCACCAGCTCTTTTTTGTGATAGGCTTTTTCGAGATAGGGTCTTGCAAACTATTTGCCTCAGGCTGGCTTCGAACCGTGATCCTCCTGAGTAGCTAAGATTACAGGAATTAGCCACCAGTGCCTGGCTGGTTTCAGGTTTTATGTTTAGGTCTTATCAATGTCATTGATACTATATTGAAGAAGAATTGAAAAAAATGGGGTAGAATTAATGTTTAAACTAATAACTCAAAAATTTCTTCCCCTCTGCATAAGAAAACCCTCTGAATATAAATGCTGCAATCACACATTGTGTCGTTGTCCCCCTCCTCCCCTTTGAGGGAATGGGCTTCAGACTTTTTAACACCAATGTCTACTAGAAAGTTAATAAAGGAAGTTGAATAACTAGAAAACAAAAATTATAACATGGATAAATAATTTTGCTTGAAAAAGACAAAAACTACTTGAAAACCTAATTTAAAATAAGGTACAAATACACAAATAAGGAAATAATCATCAAAAGAAATAAATCATTTCCTTGTACACTTGTAAATATATTAGAAAATGTAGATGAGGCAGGATTTGAAACATGGCGGATGACGTGGACCAACAACAAACTACCAATACCGTAGAGGAGCCTCTGGATCTCATCAGACTCAGCCTGGATGTACGAATTTATGTGAAGATGAGAAATGACCGGGAGCTTTGAGGCAGATTACATGCTTATGACCAACATTTAAATATGATCCTGGGAGATGTGGAAGAAACTGTGACCACTATAGAAATTGATGAAGAGACATATGAAGAGATATATAAATCAACAAAATGAAATATTCCAATGCTCTTTGTCCGGGGAGATGGTGTTGTACTTCTTGCCCCTCCACTGAGAGTTAGCTGAAACAAAGAGTCTATCCTGTGTAGGAAACAGGAGACTTTGTACAGTTGCCTCTTTAAATGTACAAAACATTCAAAGAGAGAAGCCTGCATACATTTTGATATTAAGAAATGACCCAAGGATTCTTCCACCCCTGAAACGAGTTGATTTGCAAGTAACTTACAACTTCTTCAGCTAAATGGCATTTGTATTTTTCTTCAACACTTCCAATAAACGTGACTACCAAGAAAAAAAAAATGTAGATGAAAGAAGTCAGTTTTCTAGGAAAGTGTTTTTCAAGATTTACCCACACAGAGATAAAGTCTAAACAGACCTATTTCCATTAAAAAAACTCAAGCTAATTGTCAGAGAACTGCCACCTCTCCCTTCAGAAACTCCAGGCATCATTGGAGCCGACAGAATTCTATTAGTCTAGACACTTCCTGTGTTCCTTAAGCTTTTTCAGAGGCTAAGAAAGGGATCATGTTAAGCTTTCTATATAGCAAGTGTAACATTTACATTCAAAACCCAATAGATTGCATGTGTACACACACACACACACATACACACGAGAATGATAGGCCTATCACTCAAAATATCAGTACAGAAAATTGTTTGAAAACAGAATCCACCAAAACAGAAATAATACAGCATGGGCTTGGGATGTAACTTGGTGGGAGAGCAGTTGCCTACCACCCTGGGTTTGATCCCCATCACTGCCTCCCCACCAATAATAATAGTACATCATGACCAAGAGCATTTGTACAAGTGTATTCACCTAACACTAAACATCTCGGAGCTTAACTCAAGGTTTATTTCTTAAGCTGTACGTCTAGTTAACGTCACCATGGCAGACAGGTTGGAATACATTGTACCATATAAATCACTCCATGCTGTCAGCCGTGAGGATCCTGCCATCTCAAAGCAAGGCAAGAAAGAAGACATTAAGGGGTAAGTCGACTCTCAATGTCCACCTAGAAGAGACACCATAAGTGTCAATGACAAAAGCAAATCATTTGGCCATGTTCATTTCTTAGAA